TATTTTAAATAATTATTACCTATTATTTACACCACCCTCCAACCAATTTATAACACACCCACTTTTAATATCTAAAATCCTCAATATGTTATCTCTAGCATGCACAATTAATTTCTTTTCTCGTTTATGTAGTAGAATTTGATTTATAACCGTATTTTTAAGTTCCACCAGGACGATTTCCCTAAAACAAATTTAATATAAAATTTTGTTAAATAAATAATACATTTCGAACTTGTATAAATTAAAATTTTCGTTGACGTCTTTTTCCCAACAATTTATATTCCCCAAAGAATCCGAACTGTAAATACAGGTAGATTTTGAATTGATGCATATACAAGTTATGTATCCATCATGTCCTTCTAACTCTTGATACAATTCCCACGTTAAATCCCCGATTAATCGCCATATCCGTATTATTTTATCGTAACAACCGGTCGCGATGAAATTTTGACCGATTTCGCACCAATACACAAACGAAGGATGAGGTAACATCTTAAATAAATTTATTTAATAAAGTATTTTTAAATAATAAAGTGTTATTAAAACCTGTATAAATTTAACTTTATTTAAGTCCCATATTGATACAGTTCCATCGGCTGATGATGCGAGGATTAAATCGTCATTTTTCGAAAAAGTTATGTTGTAAATTAAGTCTTGATGTGAGCTTAATTTGAAATATTCGTCTAAATTTGGGAGGAAATATACAACTAAAAAGTATGTTTCTTTGGAAAGAATAGAACAAACTAAATATTTCCCAGTGTTTCCAAATTTTAAAGCAAAACATCCTTCATCACCACTTTCTAATTCACTGTGTAATTTATTCGGCAATTTAAAGGTTTTTTCTTGCAAATTTGTTAATATCTCGTTAACTTTTTCTTTTTCATTTTCTTTAAGTTCTGAATTTAATAAATCTTTGTTATCATATTCATTAACATTACTTGATTGTTCTTGATGTTCGTATTCGTTATCTATGTTGTTTTTTAAATTTTTTATTGCAGCTTTAATGGTCGTGTTATTTTCTTTTATAGTAACGTATAGTGTCGATGGATATTTATTTCTTTGTTGTTTCCACCAGTCATAAACAGGGCAAAAACTTCCTTTTTTTGTATTACCTGGTTTGTAAAGTTGAAGTCGTAACGTTTTGTTTATATTAAAACTTCCATCTCCTGCTACGATTTTTAGAAATCCCCATGCAATATGATGCCAATTTAATAATATATCTGAAATTGAGAGAAAATTAACTTTTCAATACACACGCGTCTTCAGACG